GGCGGGGGCCTCTCCGAGGCTGTGGTCCTCTCTAGCATCTCATGGTCCAGTCTCAGGTATGTCCAGGGTCTCCTTTAATCGATGGCCAGGTCAGAGCTTCTTTCCCCCTTCCCATCATCAGGACCTGCCCTCACCCCCAGCTGGGGTGGGGAAGGGGCAAGGGGGAGGCAGCAAGGACAAAAATAGCTCAGGGTCTCATGTGCTGGAGATGCTATTTGGAAATCTGCAGGGCTGTGACCACTGGCTTCATCTTGAAGTACTGTTTAAACCTTAGCTTTGCATATCTGCCAGGAGAGAGGAGAGAGGGACAGACATGAGATGCTCATGTCCCCAGCCCGGTGTGCTCTGGCCTTGGATGATCCCTCCAGCACAGAGGGATCATTGGGATCCTCTTGTTTCAGTCATTGAACCCTGAACTGTGCTGGGAGCAAACGCCCCCCAGCCCCGGCACACTCACCTTAAGAAGTTAAAGTCTATGGTAGAGTATTTATCCTGGATCAGGCCCCAGCATGCCCAGAAGAAGTGGGATGCCTGCAACAGACAAAACAAGGATGAGCAACAGGCACAAAGTGTCCCTGCCTGTGGGATGAGTTGCTTCTGCCTCTCCTGCCTGGGTCCCAGAAGTTCTGTGGCTGTGATGACAGGACATGGGGTGGCAGCCAGCTGGGGCTGGCCCACACGTGTGCTCTTCTATGCTCCAGAAGCTGGTCCCAGCCCCAGCAAAGGATTCCAGCAGGAAGGCTGCTGAACAGCCACACAGCAAGCTCAGGGTACCCGCCTCTGCACTTGCACCTGGGACATCCCTCCTGCCAGCTCCAGACAAGACTTTGTCATAAGTTTCCAGAAAATTGGCTCCACCTGCCCATGGCATTTACCAGACAGGATTTCCTCATGCTCAGCTGTACCAAGGTCTATCAGGCTATCAGAGACACGCTGTCCCTTGGCACGTGTCAGTGGGATTGCAGACTGTCAACATTACCTCTGACCTTGCCCGAGGTGCAGCAGGTCTCTTTGGGCCACCTTCCTGCCCCAGATGCCCCCAAGCCCCCAGGCTGGTACCTGCACCCCCATCCTCACCAGCCAAGCAGCAGAACAAAGCCCCAACTCACCCAAGAACAGGGAAAAACCCATCCCACAGGCAGCCCCTGGGAGAGCCTGGCTCCATCCCACCTCCACCACTCACCAAAGTAAACTTGTTCACTTGCACGTAGAGAGATTCCAGCTCCTCCTCAGACACCCCCAAGCTGCCTGGGTCCCCCTGGGTGAGCTGCTTGTAGGCCAGCAGGTAGAAGTGCAACCACTGCAGTTGGATCTCCTTGCTGGGGAAGAGCTGATAATCCACCTCCTTCACACCTGTGAGGGGAGCCATGCCCAGGGGACAGAAGGGTGAAAGGGTGAACTTCTCCAGGGTAAAGTGAGGTGACCACAGGGCTCCCCCCATGCACGACCAGGTGAGTGAAAGCCCTGCAGCTCCAGGTGTGCACCAGCCAGGGATCAGCCCTCTGACTGGAAGCACACACACAGCCCTTACAATCATAGAAGAGAATCACAGAATTGTTTTGGTTGGGAAAGACCTTTAAGATCATCATGTCCAACCATCAACCCAGCACAGCCAGTGCCACCACTAACCCGTGTCCCTCAGCACCACATCTACACAGCTTTTAGATCCCTCCAGGGATGATGATTCCACCACTGCCCTGGGCAGCCTGTTCCAGGGCCTGACAACCCTTTCAGTGAAGTTTCCTCTAATACCTGATCTAAACCTCCCCTGGCACAACTTGAGGCCGTTTTCTTTTGTTCTATCACTTGTTCCTTGGGAGAAGAGACCAACCCCCCCTCACTCCAACCTCCTTTCAGTGAGTTGCAGAGACTGAGAAGGTCTCCCCTTTAAGCTTCCTTTTCTCCAGACGAAATACCCTCAGTTCCCTCAGCCACTCCTCACAAGACTTGTTTTCCAGACCTTCCCCAGCTTGTTCTTGCATGGTTAAGAGCTGGGCTGGTGGGGGCATTGCCCCCCTCCTGCAGCACAGCACACACCACCAGCAGAAACCATCCATCCCACATCACTCTGTCCCAAGGAGGAGCTGCCCATTTCCCTGTTTGGGACTGGGAATCCTCCCCAAGGGGGAGCCACTGGAACCAGTGGGGGGAGTCAGCCTTTGGTGGGAGGGGCCCAACTCACCTGCAAACTCATTGAAGTGGTTTCCGATGTCGAACGCCTGGTAGTTGTAGCCTGTGTACTCGTAGTCGATGAATCGAACTTGTTCTGTGGAGGCAAAGGGTTGTGAGAGGGGCTGGGGATGGAGCCACCAGCCCCTGGGGAGGTGGGCAAGGGACAAGACCCCCTCCACCAGGCAAGCAAAGCTGCTGCCATGAACCTCGTGTCCTGTCGTAGATGATGTTCTTGCAGAGCAGGTCGTTGTGGCAAAGCACGATGGGGGAACCCAGCTGG